TGTGAATTTAAATTACGGTTTAATATAAACAATGACAATTATGTTGAGAGCGAAGGCCACCATGTCAAAGTGGATGGAAAAGCTGGTGCAATAGCAAGCAAAACAACATAAGCAAATGTGGCAAGTGGGAAAATGGGTATTTGAGTTTCTTCACCGCTCTCAACAAAAGAGCTGCGAAACAAAGAAAAGTATGATGGCTAGAGATAGATAGAGGAAGAGACAGGGTGCTTCTGTGTTATTCGAACAATCTGGGGATACACTCTCAAAAAAATGAGAGTAAACTAATAAAATTATGTACATAGCCAAGTCAATTAACAGGGGCGATCCAAGAGGGTTTGAGATCTAAAGCGCCCTCAAGAGAGTTGAGGAACTATTATTTGGAAAGTTCATATACATTTTTCTTGGACGTATAGGTAAAATGAGAAATATATTATAGAGATATCATACGAGGACATTTTTTTTTTTTTGGTTTGTGACAATAAGAAAATATGCATTTGGTTTTAGAGAGAGAAAGAGAGAGAGAGAAATGGCAATTAGAATTTACTAACGGAGGTTGTCCTGTGCATCTCACGTGATTACACTGGGAGTACATTCTGTAAAAATTTTTTGGATTAAAATAACAAATTGTAAACTTAAAGGACCAAAATAATATAAGTTACAAATTTGAGGGACCAAAGTCAGTCCTAAAGTGTGGTCCATCGGTCAATTCAGACTACCCTTTTTTATTGGACCAAAGTGACAAATTAAGAAATTGACAGATCAAATTACACTATTCAAAGATCGAGGACCAAATTGATATAAACTTGCATTTTACACTTTTTTTTGAACAGGGACGGTCCAAGTGTTCTACCAAACACTCAACATGTACAAACAATACGAGGAGATTGTCTCGAACACATCCACAAAGACCAACGAAAAGAAGTTTTTGCACTAGACAACATAATATTCCTCACCATCGGCATAACAACAGTTGAACCAAAGGTAATTTACTTTTACAAAAAAATAAAAAAAAGGAAATATAGTCAAAATAAAGCAATCCAAAATATACATTGCAAACTCATTCATGTTTCAAGGTGACTTTCTTCACATAAGAGAAACTTCTGAAATATTCAAGAAATGTTCTACCAACTTGAGATCATCTTCCTCCCATTTGAACTCCTCAAGCTCAATTTTATAAAGTGAGGATGAGAAACACCTAGGCAAATGTTCGGTCATACGAGCCATAAATTCTGTATAGCCTTTGTACTCAGAAATTCCTTATAAAAAAAACACACACACACACACAATAAATTAAAATTATCTAATAAGGTATTCTAGTGTGTTAAAAATCATTCATCACATCTTAACTTACCCGCTCAAAATTAAGAACCTCTAGATTAGGCGAACTTTCAAGTAAGCGTGGCAATAAATTCCATCCATTCTCTTCAATATCTTCAAGCGTCAATGTGCATAAAGAACTAAATTTGGGCAGCAATCGGCTACTACAGTTAATGGCCTGTATGCAAGATGGAAAAAAAAGAAAAACATACAAGCAACAGGGAGAGTTCCACAAACAGATTCTTGCCAACATGAAAGGTTGGCCTGTCCATCCCAAGCTTGAGTACTTGTGCCATGGGCTTACCATCCAAAACACCCTCCTCATAATTAGAACTTGGTGTTAATTCAATAGTTCTAATGAAACCATATCAATAAGTCAACAAATTATGTCAATTTTTTATGTCTAATAAAATTACTCAAAAATTATTTACTTACTGAAGATGAGATTAAAGCATGAAAGAGTAAAGGAAGCTCACTCACCACTATGCAACTCTGAGACAAGGACAAAGTGGCTACACCAGAGCATGCTGCAACGAACTCTGCTATATTTTGGCAGTAATTCCATCTACCTTCTTCCCATTGTTCCTCAGTGACCCAAAGGTCTAGGTGAGCTTCACAGAGACCACCCCAGTTCTTTAAAGAATAGGCGTGGGCTACAACATTATAGTACTCGAGGACACTAAGAGCTGGGGTATCGAACACAACCTCATATTTACCATTACTGCAACAGTTGATTATTTTCAAAATTTTCAAAGAACAATTGGAAATTTCAAACAATTTGCGTATCTTCAAATTCACACTTCTCTATCCTAAACGATTGAAGCCAAGGGCAGCCACTAAAAAGCCTCTTAACTAAGTCACTACCACGAAATTTAACGAGTTTTAAATGTAGGACTTGAAGATATGGTATATAAAACGAACTTGGGATATGGAGAATGAAATTCCCATCTAGACTCAATTTCAATAGTCTTGTGCACACAAACTTAAGTCGAGGAAATACCAAACAATCTTTATTAACAACAGAAATATTTGAGTTCTTTGACATTAAACCTTACCGCGGAACTAAGCCAAGAATTAATGTGGACATTGTCATAGTCTTGTTCACAACGTAGAACAATTTGATCGATATATGATACATCGGATAGAAGGTGATCTAGCACACTATACACGTAATTGATGAAATTACTTCTGCGGTCCAACTGGTCCAATTCAATGGGTTCTTGACCTTGATGTGAAAATATTGACTCATCCAAAACAAGTTTAAGATCGTCAATTCAAGCAAAAAGGGGTTTCCACCTAGTTGACAAGAACGTAGTAGCCGCTGAAAATCTTGTGGGAAGAAAAGATAGTATGTGACAAAGTATGTCGTCTGGCAAATCGGAAACTCTGTCAACACCATAATCATAATCCGGTGTTTGCTCCATAAGATGACATTTCTGATCAAGTGCCTTCAAGGATTTGGGTGATGAATCCATAACTTCAATGAAGTTCCTTGGGAAGAGCTTGATGAGGGAGGTATTGCTGCGTTGCTTCTTCAGCATATAGAATATGGAAAGGCTTGATGAGAGAGTTATATTCTGTGTTGTTTCTTATAAGGAAACCACATACAATAGGAAAACAAAATCCTATTTAACTTAGAAAACAAAATATGTGAAGAGTTCTAATTAAACAAGAAAACACAAGTTATAAAATTATTTGAATAGTAAAACACAATCCTAGTTAATCTTAAGTTACGTTTGGTAACGTTTTCGTTTTTATGTTTTCACAAAAATAAAAAACAGAAACAATTTTCTATTTTTTTTGTTGTGATAAAAACTGAAAATAGAAAATATATTTTGATAATGGTAGTCATTTATGTTTAACAAATTATAAAAACAAAAATAAAAAACATGTTTGATAACCACTTGTTTTGAAAACTATATTCCAATTGCTCAATAAAATCCTCAAGACCTCTTTGGTCGAAAATGCAAATTACAGCCCAATTCCCCAACTACTACTCTAATATGCATATCAGATGCTAAAGATCAATCCCAATCCCAAATCCCAACTAGACCCACAAAAAAATAGCAAACAAATTGAACAATAATGATCCACCATGAAGCAAAAAAATTGAACTGAAAATATAGCAAAAAACAGATTCATAACATAAGTAATAAAGTGGATGAGTTTTCTTTGATATTGCATATGAATCTACCTAATGAATTTGTGTGTAAAAAAAGAGATTTACCAAAATGAATTTGGAACATGACTGTCTACATGGGTTTGGACATTTGATTCTATTCCAACTCTTAGCCATGGTAATAATTGATTAACCACTCTATTATATCTCAATTAAGTCATGTTTGAATCAATATTTTGATAAATTAATTCTAATTCAATTGAATAATTAATTCACCATTTTATGTTATACAATTTAGAGTTAATTGTATTAGAGGTCCCCCAAGTATGAGATTCGTCTCATTTTAATGTCTAATATTTTAATTACATTATTTTAATCTCTGAATTATTACTTGGTAAATTCCTATACTTTTCAGTTGGACGTACAGGTAAAATGAGAAATGGATTATGGAAAGACCTCATGCGGGGGCATTTGTTTTCTTCTGCCTTGTGACAATAAGAAAATGCATGTGCATTTGGATTCCAAATAAAGAGGGAGAGAGGGAGAGAGCCGAAGATGGCAATTAGAATTAGCTAACGGAGGTCGTCACGTGCATCTTACGTGATCATATTTGAAACACATTCTTAGAAAAATTTAGGGACTAAGGTGATATAAACTGTAAATTAGAAGGACAAAAATGATACAAGTCACAAATTTGAGGAACCAAAGTCACCACTCAAGTGATAGCGTGAACATCATTGTTAGTCAATTTTTTTTTTGGTCATGAAAATAACTTTTATATTAATACTCCAACTTGCTATTACAGAAAATATATGTCAACCTATACCATTCCTTTCCTCCTTCCTAAGTACATTCATAAGAAAATCAGGGGGGTTAACTAACTCTTGAGGGAGGGAAAATCCTCTTCTAGCTTGAGTTGCTAGAGTATGTGCTGCCATAATTTGTGATCTCCTCACGAACTGCAGCTGGACCAAAGGTATTTGCTGGATGTACTGCCAAATATCCTGCTGGATAGATGCTATCTCCCTAATTGGAGCTTCAGGGCCCTTGCTCAATGAGTCCATAAGGTACTTAGCATCAGACTCAATTATAACCGCTTGGTACCCATGCTCTAGTGCCATTTTGGAGGCCCTTCTTACTGCATATGGTTCTGTGACTATAGCAGACGAGGCCCCAACTGTTTGTGCTGCCCCAGTGATCCATGAGCCCTCAGGATTTCGCACCACAATTCCATAGGCTCCTTCCTTAGCCTTCGCTTGATATGCTCCATCACAATTAATCTTCACCTAGTCCTTGGGAGGATGCATCCAGTTAAGTTCTGCACCTATTAGAGTGCTTTCTTGTACTTGCTTTCCACTACATATAGGGCACGTGGGAAACTTTGCAATTTTTCTCCTCCATAACTCCCATGTAGTAGCAAGTGCACCACTAACTACTTTCCACAAAAAGGACTGTATCTTCGGGGGTACTTGGATTCTCCATATAACCTTCCATATGCCTTGGGGTACTTGATAAGAGGTGGAAGCATTAGATCTTCTTTGAGCGGGTTTTACTCTTTGTTTTTGCAAATGATGACCACTCCTTACAGTGTAGAATCCAGAATTTGTGTGAGCCCATCTAACTGCATCTGTTTGAGAGGTTTCACTTAGAGGTATAGCTAAGACCTCAGTTGCTACCTCTGCTGGAAAGGTATTATTAACCAACTCTCTATTCCATCTTCTGTTAGGTACCAAAATGAGTTCTTGGACCTTTTGAATACTGCTCTGCTGCAGGTTGGGTAATCCCTTATGCCCAAGAACCCAGTGATCATCCCAGCAGTTAACTTGACTGCCATCGCCAATTTGCCAATAACATCCTTCCTTTAACAATTCTTTTCCTTCCAGTATGCTCTTCCATATCCAAGAGCTGTTTGGTTTTGGTGTAGCCTGCCAAAAGTATACCTCCTTAAAGTATTTGGCTTTCAACATCCTAGCCCATAATGAGCCTGGGTTTTGAATAAGTCTCCAAGCCTGCTTCGCCAACATAGCTGTATTGAAACTTTCGAAGTCTCTAAAACCCAGTCCTCCTTCCTCCTTTCTCTTAGTTAACACTTCCCAACTTTTCCAATGTATTCCTCTTTCCCCTGAAGATTTACTCCACCAGAATCTTCTTATCTCTGAGGTTAGCTCCTCACAAAATGAATTAGGAAACTTGAATATTGACATAAAATAAGTAGGGATTGCCTGAATGACTGCTTTAATCAACACTTCTTTCCCAGCATGATTGAGAAACGTTTCCTTCCATCCAGTTATCTTTGCCAAACTCCTCTCCTTTAACCACCTCAGGTTCTGCTTCTTAGACCTCCCCCGCTCAGTTGGTAAGCCAAGATACTTACCAGATGACGGTGACAATGGAATCCTTAAACAATTGGCCAAGTCTTGTTGGATATGAATTGGGGTATTCCTGCTAAACACCACCCCTGACTTGTTTAGATTAATCAATTGTCCTGTAGCATAGCAATACTTGTTTAAAATCTCCATCAGTAACTTGCATTGACCCCTGTTAGCTATAGAGAAAAAGATAGAATCATCTGCAAATAACAAATGGGAAATACTAGGAGCTGCTCTATTTATTTGGAGACCTTGAAGAATACCACTTTCCATTGCTTTGTTCATCAAGATGGTCAAGCCTTCTGTAAGGAGAATGAAGAGATAAAGGGACAATGGATCTCCTTGTCTAATCCCCCTAGTTGGGTCTATTTTTATAGTCCTTTCCCCATTAACCATAATGTTGTATCTGACAGTAGTAACATTGCATGATCATATTAACCCACCTGGAATCAAACCCCAATTTTAACAAAAGATCTCTAAGATAATCCCATTCCACCCTATCGTACGCTTTAGACATATCTAACTTCACTGCCATCTGATATTTTCTGGTCCCTCTTCTTTGCTTTATAGAATGTAAAATTTCCTGGGCTACAACACTGTTATCCTGTATTAACCTCCCCCCCACAAAGGCACTTTGATTTTGGGACACCAATGATGTCATAAATGGCTTCAACCTCAAAGCTAACAACTTAGATATGATCTTGTAAATAAAATTAGGGCAACTAATTGGCCTGTACTCCCCAACTACCTCTGGATTAGGAACTTTTGGTATTAAGACCACATTAGTTTCATTAAGCTCTCTTAACAAAAACCCAGATTGGAAAAAGGATTGAGCGGCTGCATAGACTTCCTTTTTAATGATATGCCAATATTTATGGTAAAAAATACCTGGTAATCCATCCGATCCAGGAGACTTTAGAGCCCCAAGGCTGAATACTACCTTCTTGACCTCCCCAAGAGAAGGTGGTTTCATCAACTGCTCATTCATCTCTGCTGTGACTAGTTGAGGGAAATCTTGCAATATCGGCAATTAATTTCTTTCACCCTCTGATGAAAAAATTCTGTAATAGTGCTCTTGTACCATCCGTTTAATCTGCTCCATATTTGTCACCCATTCATCATTCAGCCCTTTTAGCATAACCATCCTATTTCTTTGCCTTCTTTGAATGATAGTTGTGTGAAAAAACTTGGTATTCCTATCCCCCCACCTTAGCCACTTCAATCTCGAACGTTGACCCCAATACTTTTCCTCTCTTTTCCATACCTTCTCCACTTCTGTTTTGAGTTTTCCTATCTCCTCAAGATGTGAACTCTGATAAGGACTATTCTGAATATCAACCATTTTGGCTTTCAATTCTTCTATCTGTTTCCTACTATTTTTGAAATGATTTGAGCTCCATCTCTTCAATTCCCTTCCACAATTCCTGAGTTTCTGTTTAACTTGAAACATTCTGGAACCTACGACTGGTTGATCCCAGCTTTGTTTAATGACTTCAGCACATTGCTCCTCATCAGCCCAATACGCTTCAAACCGAAACTGTTTTCTTGCCATAGTTACCTGAGGGTCAATATCCAGAATCAAGGGTGAATGATCGGATCCCACCGCTGGTGCAGCTATTACAATAGCATTGGGGAAAGCCACCCTCCAGCTAGGTGATGCTAGAGCCCTATCCAACCTTTCTTTGACATTAGCCTCTCCTTGACGGTGATTATCCCAAGTAAATCTACATCCCTTGCTCTCTAGATCAATTAACTTGTTCCCATCCACAAAGGCTCTAAAACTCCTCAATTTTCTATTAGCTCGATCTCTGATCCCCTCTTTTTCCACACTTGATACAATATCATTGAAATCCCCTATACAAAGCCAAGGGAGCACAAGACTTGTACCATAAACACTTAACTGGGCCCATTGTCTGCATCTACTGTCAAAATTAGGATGACCATACGCAAAACTCAAGTGCCATGGTCCTGATGTATTCTTTGCCTTAACTGTAATATTCACAATGTTCTGGCTAAGATCTTCAACCTCCAGATTAATATCTTCTTTCCACAT